TATAACGCTGACAAACATACATTATTATTATTGTTATTATTATAACCTTTATTTAACTAGGAAAAACATCTTGAGATTTAAAATCTCTTTTACAAGAGAGTCCAACGTGCAGCACACTAGCGCACTATCATTCATACACCCGGCGCAATGCAGCGCCAAGCTCGACGCAAGTGTGTTTTGCTAGTTTCAGCCCGACGCAGTTATGTAGTTATGTCTGTAGTTTAAAAAAAATAATTAAAAAAAAGTTATAGCTGTTTAAGTTTATTGTAATAAAAAAGTACTTTTATATTTTATCAAAATAATATATCAATAAAAATTTGGTTCACCCTAAAGATTATATGAAATAAAAGCCATCGTTCTAAAGAAGTTGTGTTCCAAATTTGAGACTAATATCTTAAAAAATGAGATTTTTATGAGCTGCTATACCAACAAAGGCCACTAGGTGACATTCATGCCCAGTGACCATCAAATGTTGCTACATCAAAACATCAAATATATTAATTTTCGATTGTATTCTCAATGTTTTGGACAAATACTAGAAAAAATATTTAGTTTGGATTATTAACATAAAAACTGAAGTTTAAGTCACTTTATTGGTTTTTCATAACAAAGGTCACAACTCCTGGTATAGTTTTGATTTTTTCGCTACTTTCTCTTGTCACAAATTGATCATCAACGTTCACATCAATGACAATGTTTGCAGATGACTCAACTGTTTACTATGGTTCAAACTCATGTGACAAACTTAATCATGTTTTGTCTGGAGAGTTGGATTCGGTGTATAAGTGGGTTAGTGGAAACAAATTAGTTTTAAATATTTCCGAAACTAAAAGTATGATCATTGGGTCAAAACAAAAATTGATCCTTGGATCGGAATTAAAGTTACATATAGCCGGGCAAAGAATACAACGAGTAAAAAAAAAAACTGTTGGGTTTGATTATTGATAGTAGTCTTTCTTGTACAGAACACATAAATACTATTGTTAACAGAATAGGATGCGGCATTGCATTAACTAAAAAATTTTGTCATTATGTGAATCAGGAAACTTTAAAAATAGTAACAGAGTCATTAATATTATGGGGGTTTTGGGCTCAGTTTAGCTCCTCCTAAATGGCACAAGGCAGGTCCAGCTCAAAGGAGGAAGCTGGTAGTCAACGAGGTGCGAAAGCAGGAGGAGAGGATGAGGTGTATAAAGGCCATTTCCCAGGCCAAGCAGGGAGAGTGGATGAGATGGGAGAGTGTGGAACAACGCAAGATTGGCTGGCAAGACCTTTGGTCAGTGGAAGAGAGTAGGATCAGTTTCCTTATTAGGTCAACATATGATGTTCTCCCATCACCGCAGAACCTAAACCTCTGGGTAGGAGAGGATCCCTCTTGTCCTTTGTGTTCATCACCTGCCACATTAAGGCACATTTTGACAGGGTGTAAGGTGGCTCTTAGCCAAGGTCGGTTTACTTGGCGCCATGACCAAGTACTGCGATGTTTGGCTTTAGCATTGGAAGACAAGCGTAACATGACCAATAAGTTGCCACCTGTTCTAGCCTTCATATTACACGCAGAAGACAATATTCCTCCGCCCAGGCGAGCAACCACCAAGAAAAGGTGTTAACACCAATTCTCGCCCAGGACAACTGGAAGCTGCTAGGGACTGGAAGATGCTGGCTGATCTTGACCAACGGCTTATTTTTCCACCTGAGATTGCCACCACTAACCTACGACCAGATATTGTTTTGTGGTCTGGATCAGCACGCATTGTTCAACTGATAGAGTTAACAGTGCCATGGGAGGATGCGGTAGATGAGGCATATGAGAGGAAGAAACTGCGGTATGCTCATCTTGCCACTAAAGCAGAACAGCGAGGATGGAGAGTCCAGGTTTATCCAGTGGAAGTGGGTTGTCGAGGTTTTGTGGCACACTCTACAACCCGGTTCCTCAGAGACGTCGGATTCAGTGGCCAAGAGTTGCGTCGCACAGTAAAGAACTTATCTGAAGCAGCAGAGAGGAGCAGCAACTGGCTGTGGTTGAGACGGAAAGATTCTTGAGGTGTCGCGGGCTAGTCGACGAAACACTGAGGACGGAAGGTGCCCACTTGAAGACCCTAGAGATGTCCCCTACTCAGCGCAAACGCGCCAAATACACTTCAGCCATTAACACCAGACAGAAGGAGATTCACATCACCAGATGGAAAGAGGCGTAAATGGATGGAGAAGCATAGTTTACTGTAAAGCTACGTCTTAGTTGGTGCTTATCTTGGCGAAAGTCGAGTACAAATCAGCATGAAGTTTTAACATCTACTCTCGTGTAATGGAAATCATGTCACTTGTCATACTGCACTGAGGTGTGGTCTTCTGCAACTAAAAAGGACTTGTCAAAAATTCAGGTTGCGCAAAATAAAGCAGCAAGACTTGTTCTGGGATGCTCAATTAAAACAAGTAGAGATCAGATGTATGTACTCTTTCATGGCTCACTTTAAACCAAAGAATAACTTAAGTTACTTTAAGCACTATGATATATAACACATTGACAATACAAATGCCTATTTCTCTGTACTGGCCCACCGGTGGGCCCATTTGCCATTGCATGTTTAAAACAATTATATCCTATACGTAACCTGATCTAATTGACAAACAATATATCGTTGGAAAGCTCTAAGTGTGTACTTTTCATATTTGACCACTGTTGTGCAGGAAATATTATGTAGTGACAAACATTTATCAATTTGTGACAAGAGAAAGTAGCGAAAAAATCAAAACTATACCAGGAGTTGTGACCTTTGTTATGAAAAACCAATAAAGTGACTTAAACTTCAGTTTTTATGTTAATAATCCAAACTAAATATTTTTTCTAGTATTTGTCCAAAACATTGAGAATACAATCGAAAATTAATATATTTGATGTTTTGATGTAGCAACATTTGATGGTCACTGGGCATGAATGTGGCCTAGTGGCCTTTGTTGGTATAGCAGCTCATAAAAATCTCATTTTTTAAGATATTAGTCTCAAATTTGGAACACAACTTCTTTAGAACGATGGCTTTTATTTCATATAATCTTTAGGGTGAACCAAATTTTTATTGATATATTATTTTGATAAAATATAAAAGTACTTTTTTATTACAATAAACTTAAACAGCTATAACTTTTTTTTAATTATTTTTTTTAAACTACAGACATAACTACATAACTGCGTCGGGCTGAAACTAGCAAAACACACTTGCGTCGAGCTTGGCGCTGCATTGCGCCGGGTGTATGAATGATAGTGCGCTAGTGTGCTGCACGTTGGACTCTCTTGTAAAAGAGATTTTAAATCTCAAGATGTTTTTCCTAGTTAAATAAAGGTTATAATAATAACAATAATAATAATGTATGTTTGTCAGCGTTATAGTTCATATGGTGAACTCTCAAGCTGTGACAGCTCAGCTTTCAAAAGGACTTAGGAAAAGTTCTGCCCCATGATTAAAACCCATGGCACATGGTGGCATTTATGGTGAGGTCATTGATATAGAGCTGAGTAATTCAGCTGAAACTGCCCCAAAGTGAAACTGTGTGCGAGGAAACCGTTTGTTGGAAATGTAATGATTCTGGAGAATGTTTTGTCACCATATCTGATCAGATAAGCTAATAGTAATATGACACACTGTAGATACGCCTTATTATCTTTAACCTGTGTGCGAGAAAACCGTTTGTTGGAAATGTTGTAAGAATTCTTTAGAAAAGGGTTCCCAAAGTTTTTCATTCTAGTAACGGAATCTATTATTTTGGAATAATAACTTGAAAACTTTTAATATTTGTTGCCACTTTTTATACCATGGGGAAAACCTGTCAACATTAAGGGTGCAAAATTGTAGTATTTTATGGAAGGATAAATATGACAAAGCTAGAACTATGACAAAGAGGTTTATTTTGACCTGTAGTGTAATTTTCTTTCATACAGGAGTCCTGCAGGCGCCCTTGCTCAGAAACTCCGAATATGCCCCAGAGAAGTAGTATAACTTTGACAATATTAGGGATTGTCTGGAATGTCATAAGTCATCAGGCTATCGCTGTAGCTGAATAAAAAGACGACAAACACTTTAACTGATCAAACATGTGGAATTACTGTGAAAGCCATGCAATTATTAACATGGATCAAACAGGAAAACAATAAACGCACAACTTCCACAATATATTTGATCTGTGCTCTTCAATCTATCTCAGGTATTTCCATAAGAATAAAGTATATTTATAATGCAATGCTAATCGACTGCCTTTATTACAGTATAGATTAGACTACAATAAAATAATATATTTTCGATCTCATTCTATGATCAGAAGCCGCATCAGATCACAACAGTGATGTTATGAAGTGAGTTTGGAGTAAAATATGTTAATAAATGTGCATTTTGTTGGACAAAATGTTTATAAAAGCTTCTGATGAACTCAGAGAGAAGAGAGGGTTGAAAAGTTTTTTTGAAGTGTTTTTTAAACAACATTTTAAAAGAATCTTCTCTTAAGAATCGTTTGCTCATTAATTGGACTGGTATTTGTGTCGTTCACCGGAACAAAGATTTTGCCGCAGCCGAGTAACTTCAAACCCAGGCTTTAGAGTGCTTTCTTGCCAACCATAATCATTGCATTTTTTGTTGTAATGTGTTGTAGAAATACAGGCTTCATGTCAAAAACTGGGGAATTCTTTTCCAGGGTTGATAGTTTGATTTTGTGTTATACATATGACCACAATATTCCTTTCTTTCTGCTGTATTGCCTAAAATATATATTTTTCGGTTCAAGAATCAATGTCAAAAATAAAACTGCATAATTCCACTTGTGTTGGTAGAACTGTTACTGGCTAAAGTTCCCCCACAAAAATATGCATACTGTAGGTGTTTCCTTTGGTGTCGCCACCCCTTGCCACCCTATAAATGTCAAGATCCACCCCTGGATAACAACTTCTGTAAGTGTTGGTCGGCCTTGAATACAATACATATTTTAGGATTTGCAGGAGAACAAAATCTGTCCAAATGACTCTGCAACAGCAACCGCCGTTTCTCTGGCCAGTAAGTCAGCAATTGTATTGAAAGGATGATTGATATGATGTAGACATCCATATTTTTTAAGTATCTTTAATACAATGATTTTTTTAATGGATTATTCAAAGTGGATTTGACCTATTTAACATGTATAATACAACATTTTTTACAGCATGCTAACATGTTTTCTTGAATTGCTTTGTCCCTCAATCAGATGGTCCCGTATAAAAGCATCATCCGCGGCGGACTTCAACCTGGCAAAGTCATCACCGTCCAAGGAATCATCAAATCCCAAGCGGAGAGGTTTGACAATTTTGTTTCTTCCAGATAATAAATCTGCTGCACTGTAACAAATTACCAGGAATTTACAGTGAAATTAATGCATGCTGGGTAATTTTCCTACGAATAACTGTTAATCAACAGCAAAATGATGCTGACATCGCAGTAATTTGCTACTCTTGTTTTACTGGGAATTCGCATTATAAAGTTGTCTTTCACCATGCCACATTAATAAATTATATTGTTTTGTACTGTAATTGTTTTGAAGTCATCATAATGGTGATTAGTGTTTCATTTGCTCGGGATCTTGGACCTTGTATATTCATATTGTCTGATCTAGCCAAGTCAGAAGACAGACAAATGACATGCTAGAATATAAAATAAGCTAATTGTCTGGTTTTAAGTTAAATAAGTATAGTATTATTAGAGTTATTTCTGCATTTAGATTTACCAATATCCCATTTCAAACTCGTATTTGGACGTATTATGTTTCACAATAGTAAAGCAGCTGCTGAGAATGTGTCTTTGAAAGATATGATATCCTTTTGGAACACATGAGTTTTTTCCCTTTGTCTAATGATACACACATATCCATACTCCACATACAAAACACCACAATGGTGACAATCAAGAAATAATAATAATACAAAAGATCATTCTGAACATTACAAAATAAACAAACAAAACAAACTGCTAAAAGTGATCCAAAAATAAGTTCAGCAGCACAGATTAAACCAACAAGAATTAAGAAACTCCAAAGCATAATCTTTTCATGCCACACTGCATGCTGGGAAATACCGTATGATATTCCAAGAGCGCATTTAGATACCAGAGAAGTCCTTCTGTGGAATTACTGCGAAAGTCATGCAATTATTAACACGGAATATACTGTAATTTCACACTAAAATTTGTAACCGTGTGTTTTAAAATGTTTTTAAATATTCACGAATACTATTGGGACATCATAATGACACATCTACCTGATCCTTGAAACCGTGGGACGTTTTTCAAAAAGTATAATTCCTTTTGCTTTTATTTCTCCAACAGCTTTGAGCTTAATCTGCATCACAAATTTGGAATTGCATTTCACTTCAATCCTCGTTTTGATCAGAATGTGGTTGTCCGCAACACTTTTGAGAATGGGAAATGGGGCGATGTGGAGGAACGATCTGGATCCATGCCGTTTAAAAGAGGGGAACAGATTCTGGTAAACATGCAGATTAATTATTGCCTGTTTGTTCACTTTCTGTTCAAATGGACATTGTGGATAAGACTCTGTAATCACTGTAATAACTGTCAATGACTGTACAGTAGAGGATGGGGAAATCTGTTTTAAAATTTCATGAAATTGATTTAAAATCTTTCTAATTGTGCTTGTGCATTTCAGGTGACCATTTTCTGCAGTCGTGATCATTACAAGGTGTTTGTCAATGGTGAAGAAACTCACACTTACAAACATCGCTTCACTAAACTGGAGGAGATCGATGTTTTGGAAGTTGGCGGAGACATACAGCTGGCCTTTGTGCAGCCCTAACAGGGATTTCATCCAGATCTATTACGTGTTCAGAACATGCATCAATCTATGTAATCTTGAACACAAAAGATGCTAAAAATAGATAATTCACATTTATATGCATCAATTCACATGCATAGATTTTTCACTTGCCTGCATCTTAATCCGATACCCATGTGATTGTCCACAGTTTCAGTGATGGTAATAAATAAAAATGAGCAAATAAACATTGATGTGTCCAACCCATTTGTGTTTTTGTGCAAATCTAGTAAAATGTGCAGTACATCAAATTCTGTTTGTAGGCATAAGTAAATTATTACCAGTGAAAAAGACACAGGTTTGCCACCCGTCCCATGAAATACAGGATCGTCCTGTATTTACAGGTGAGATTATGCGTCCCTTATCAAATCTATACGGGATGCAATTTGGCCCTGTGTTTTACATAGGCCCACACATAAACATATAAGCATTTTGCAGTGTGGAGAATACAAATAGCAAATATAAAGAAATCAGTTTCACAATAAGTAGAAGTGAAGCTGAATAAATGAAGTGTCATGCGCTGTAAACCCGCTCGTGTTTATTCAATTTAATTCAAATTTATTTGTATAGCGCTTTTCACAATACATATTGTTTCAAAGCAGCTTTACAGACAGTGCATTTCAGAAATGGACATAGAAAAAATACAGTTAGTTAATCATGTCATGTATTAATTTAGGGCATAACATATCGCCGGTGTTGAGTCGTCTCTTCACAGGTGTTGAGTCGTCTCTTCGCTGGTGTTGAGTCGTCTCTTCGCTGGTGTTGAGTCGTCTCTTCACAGGTGTTGAGTCGTCTCTTCACAGGTGTTGAGTCGTCTCTTCACAGGTGTTGAGTCGTCTCTTCACAGGCGTCGAGTCGTCTCTTCGCAGGCGTCGAGTCGTCTCATCGCAGGTGTTGAGTCGTCTCTTCACAGGCGTTTAGTCGTCTCTTCACAGGTGTTGAGTCGTCTCTTCACAGGTGTTGAGTCGTCTCTTCACAGGTGTTGAGTCGTCTCTTCACAGGTGTTGAGTCGTCTCTTCACAGGTGTTGAGTCGTCCCTTCACAGGTGTTGAGTCGTCTCTTCGCTGGTGTTGAGTCGTCTCTTCACAGGTGTTGAGTCGTCTCTTCACAGGTGTTGAGTCGTCCCTTCACAGGTGTTGAGTCGTCTCTTCACAGGTGTTGAGTCGTCCCTTCACAGGTGTTGAGTCGTCTCTTCGCTGGTGTTGAGTCGTCTCTTCACAGGTGTTGAGTCGTCTCTTCACAGGTGTTGAGTCGTCTCTTCACAGGTGTTGAGTCGTCTCTTCACAGGTGTTGAGTCGTCTCTTCACAGGTGTTGAGTCGTCTCTTCACAGGTGTTGAGTCGTCTCTTCACAGGTGTTGAGTCGTCTCTTCGCTGGTGTTGAGTCGTCCCTTCACAGGTGTTGAGTCGTCTCTTCACAGGTGTTGAGTCGTCCCTTCACAGGTGTTTAGTCGTCTCTTCGCAGGTGTTGAGTCGTCTCTTCACAGGTGTTGAGTCGTCTCTTCACAGGTGTCGAGTCGTCTCTTCACAGGTGTCGAGTCGTCTCTTCACAGGTGTTGAGTCGTCTCTTCACAGGTGTTGAGTCGTCTCTTCACAGGTGTTGAGTCGTCTCTTCACAGGTGTTGAGTCGTCTCTTCGCAGGTGTTGAGTCGTCTCTTCACAGGCGTTGAGTCGTCTCTTCGCTGGCGTTGAGTCGTCTCTTCGCAGGCGTTTAGTCGTCTCTTCGCAGATGTTGAGTCGTCTCTTCACAGGTGTTGAGTCGTCTCTTCACAGGTGTTGAGTCGTCTCTTCACAGGTGTTGAGTCGTCTCTTCACAGGTGTTGAGTCGTCTCTTCGCAGGTGTTGAGTCGTCTCTTCACAGGCGTTGAGTCGTCTCTTCGCTGGCGTTGAGTCGTCTCTTCGCAGGCGTTTAGTCGTCTCTTCGCAGATGTTGAGTCGTCTCTTCACAGGTGTTGAGTCGTCTCTTCACAGGTGTTGAGTCGTCTCTTCACAGGTGTTGAGTCGTCTCTTCACAGGTGTTGAGTCGTCTCTTCACAGGCGTTTAGTCGTCTCTTCACAGGTGTTGAGTCGTCTCTTCACAGGTGTTGAGTCGTCTCTTCACAGGTGTTGAGTCGTCTCTTCGCTGGTGTTGAGTCGTCTCTTCACAGGTCTTGAGTCGTCCCTTCACAGGTGTTGAGTCGTCTCTTCGCAGGTGTTGTGTCGTCTCTTCACAGGTGTTGAGTCGTCTCTTCGCAGGTGTTGAGTCGTCTCTTCACAGGTGTTGAGTCGTCTCTTCGCTGGTGTTGAGTCGTCTCTTCACAGGCGTTTAGTCGTCTCTTCACAGGTGTTGAGTCGTCCCTTCACAGGTGTTGAGTCGTCCCTTCACAGGTGTTGAGTCGTCTCTTCACAGGTGTTGAGTCGTCCCTTCACAGGTGTTGAGTCGTCCCTTCACAGGTGTTGAGTCGTCTCTTCGCAGGTGTTGTGTCGTCTCTTCACAGGTGTTGAGTCGTCTCTTCACAGGCGTTTAGTCGTCTCTTCACAGGTGTTGAGTCGTCTCTTCACAGGCGTTTAGTCGTCCCTTCACAGGCGTTGAGTCGTCCCTTCACAGGTGTTGAGTCGTCCCTTCACAGGTGTTGAGTCGTCCCTTCACAGGTGTTGAGTCGTCTCTTCACAGGTGTTGAGTCGTCCCTTCACAGGTGTTGAGTCGTCCCTTCACAGGTGTTGAGTCGTCTCTTCACAGGTGTTGAGTCGTCCCTTCACAGGTGTTGAGTCGTCCCTTCACAGGTGTTGAGTCGTCTCTTCGCTGGTGTTGAGTCGTCTCTTCACAGGTGTTGAGTCGTCCCTTCACAGGTGTTGAGTCGTCTCTTCACAGGTGTTGAGTCGTCCCTTCACAGGTGTTGAGTCGTCTCTTCACAGGTGTTGAGTCGTCTCTTCACAGGTGTTGAGTCGTCCCTTCACAGGTGTTGAGTCGTCTCTTCACAGGTGTTGAGTCGTCTCTTCACAGGTGTTGAGTCGTCCCTTCACAGGTGTTGAGTCGTCTCTTCGCTGGTGTTGAGTCGTCTCTTCCCAGGCCTTTAGTCGTCTCTTCACAGGCCTTTAGTCGTCTCTTCACAGGTGTTGAGTCGTCTCTTCGCAGGTGTTGAGTCGTCTCTTCGCAGGTGTTGAGTCGTCTCTTCCCAGGTGTTGAGTCATCTCTTCACAGGTGTTGAGTCGTCCCTTCACAGGTGTTGAGTCGTCTCTTCACAGGTGTTGAGTCGTCCCTTCAAAGGTGTTGAGTCGTCCCTTCACAGGTGTTGAGTCGTCTCTTCACAGGTGTTGAGTCGTCCCTTCACAGGTGTTGAGTCGTCTCTTCACAGGTGTTGAGTCGTCTCTTCACAGGTGTTGAGTCGTCCCTTCACAGGCGTTGAGTCGTCTCTTCACAGGCCTTTAGTCGTCTCTTCACAGGCCTTTAGCCGTCCCTTCGCAGGTGTTGAGTCGTCTCTTCGCAGGTGTTGAGTCGTCTCTTCGCTGGTGTTGAGTCGTCTCTTCGCAGGTGTTGAGTCGTCCCTTCACAGGTGTTGAGTCGTCCCTTCACAGGTGTTGAGTCGTCTCTTCACAGGTGTTGAGTCGTCTCTTCACAGGTGTTGAGTCGTCCCTTCACAGGTGTTGAGTCGTCTCTTCACAGGTGTTGAGTCGTCTCTTCACAGGTGTTGAGTCGTCCCTTCACAGGTGTTGAGTCGTCTCTTCACAGGCGTTTAGTCGTCTCTTTACAGGTGTTGAGTCGTCTCTTCACAGGTGTTGAGTCGTCTCTTCGCAGGCGTTTAGTCGTCTCTTTGCAGGTGTTGGGGCATCTGAAGTCTCCGTGAGAGGCAGAGACTAGCGTCCCGAGATAACAGCAGAAAAGCAGATGGGAAATAATTAGCGTAGCTAATTCAACAGTTTCAACAGATTTAACAGTAGTATAAAAGGTAACCATTATGTAAATGCTTGGCTAGAGAGATGCGTCTTTAATCTAGTTTTAAACTGGGACAGCGAGTCTGAGACTCGAACAATATCAGGAAGGCTATTCCAGAGTTTAGGAGCTAAATGTGAGAACGCCCTCCCTCCTTTAGTGGACTTAGATATCCTAGGAATGACCAGAAGCCTCGAATTTAGGGATCTTAAAGAACACGATGGATTGTAGGGTGATAGAAGGTCCATTAAATACACTGGAGCTAAACCATTTAGGGCTTTATAGGTCAGTAGTAATACTTTGTAATTGATACGGAACTTAACAGGTAACCAGTGTAGAGATGATAAAATTGGTGTTATATGATCATATTTTCTTGACCTACTCTATAGCAGCTGCATTTTGCACTAACTGTAGCTTGTTTATTGAGGATGCAGGACAACCAGCTAATAAAGCATTACAGTAATCTAGTCTCGAGGTCATGAATGCATGAACTAACTTTTCTGCATCAGAAATAGATAGCATGTTACGTAATTTAGCAATGTTTCTAAGGTGGAAAAAGGCCGTTCTTGTAACATGAAATATGATTTTCGAACAACTGAACCATTTTATAACCATGTCGAGCTCAATCCCACGCCTTAAACACAAGAAGCTCTCTAGATAAAGGGCTGACATGGAAAAAATGGCTCACTCCAGTAACTGATGATGAATATAAGGCGAACTGCACAGTTTGCCGAAAAGCATTTTCAGTTGTTCAGGGTGGATTGTGGTGCTAAAGGGTATGTATAGGCGTATATTTTTATTTATTTTTTATTTGGATAATCTATTAGTTTCTATTAATATAAACATTCCATACATTATCTGAGGTTGATAGACAGATAATTATTATATTTTCAGACATTATTAGGCAGATCATTAATTAATTGATTTTAAATAATGGTATTTATTATTTTTATATTATTAGGCTATAGCCGTTGCATCTCTGCATGTCTTTCAGAAACTAAACCAGCTCTCTGTCAAGAGTAACCTAATAATCAACTAGTCTAGCCTACATGTTTGCTCCTTCATCTGTTGCTG